TTATCTCATCTTCTGAATAAATAGTATTTTTGAAAGGAGGGGGGTAGTAAAAGTTAACGTAATGAACTATTGTTTTTATCATTTTAATATATACATATATATAATATAATGCATATAGAAATCAATCCTAGATCGTTGTTAAATTTAGAGCATATTTGTGAAGTCTTATACAAACTTCATCCATCAGTTTTAGACTATTTGATAAATATGCAAAGAGATTTAGGTTCGATACTTGGGTTCAATGATATGAAAAATTTATCTTTAGAACAAAGAGAATGTTTTCATAAAATTTTTGGATCAAATTATGACATAACTGAAGAAGATGACATAACTGAAGAAGATGACATAACTGAAGAAGATGAGGATTCACCAGAAATAGAATTAAAAAATTATAAGTTTGATAACTTAAGAAAATATCTTCAACTCAATACAGATGAATATATTCCTATAAAAATTTATATTGAAGTAGAAGATCCTATAATAGGAAGAAGAGTAAAGGAATTGGTACATACTCTTGAGACTACTAGTGCACCAGAAGAGTTTTGTTCAAACAAAATGGAAATAGATGAAGATGCTTATTTTGCTGAAGGTTACAATTTTCTATTAAATGATGAACAAATTAAAAAAAGAGAAGATATTTTTAAGAATAATGATGTAGAAGCTCTTGAAAAAATTTTAAGAAAGGAAAAATTATATCCTTAATTTCTAGATTATCTAATTCTAAAAATAATTAGATAATGTGATATCATTTTATTTCTGCTTCTGATTTTGGTGTTATTTTTTTAGACGTACTTAAATTTAAAATATTGAAATCAGAGCTATATTGTATACTATTTTTAGTTTTATCCAATAACTCATTCAATTTTTTATCATTACATGCATCTTCAAATGTTTCTTTTTTTAAAAATACAAACAATATATGTTTTTTTAATCTTTTTAAATATGATAAAATATTATCTGATGACTTTTCATCTAAACTTAAATTATATCTATACTCATAAATGAAAGAAAGTAATGCATATCTTTTTAATAACATTAATTTATTAGAATCATGTAAGCTATATAAGCTATGAAATAAATGTGGATCTTTAAAAAAATAATAACCACCTTCAGTATTATAATAATTTATATCAGGTTTATTTATTTCGTGGTAACTAAATGAAACATTTATAGTTTCTAATTTGTAATACTTACTATTTAAAATATTAAAGTTGTAATGTAAAACATGTGAATAAACATCATCAACAGATGGATCTTCTATTTTTACATCAACTTTAAGATATAATGTATTAAAATTTTTCATAATTTCTCTTCTTATTAACATAATAAGATCTCTATTATCCATAGGTGTTAAGTTATTAAAATCTATTTCCATTTATAGTTTAATTATTTAATGTTTAAACCTACTATTATATTTAATCTCAAATCTATCTGGTTCAGGAGATTGATCAATTATCATATCATCTATTAGTTTCATTCTATCTACGAATTTTTGTTTATCCCATTCATCTCCTCTAAGTACAGCTCGAAGTTCAACAAGAACTTTTTCATAAGTAGTGTATGCAATTTTTGTCATCTCAATTTTCCTCTTATAATTTTGTTTTTTTCCAACTCCAGTCATAATAACACCAGCACCATTTATTACTCCGAGAATAACAGGATTAAGTGTAATTCCCCCAGTAATAGTTCCTATTGCTACCAAACATATTCCAGAGATTGTAAAAAAATTATCAAGAAATTTATAACTTTTATAAGACCTCTTAAAACACCAATATTTTTTATGGTAGTAACTGTAAAAATCTTTTAGTGTTTTAATATCTGATTTTGATAGAGATGGGTCTATGTGATTAAAATCAAAAATATCCTTCATTTTATTATTTTATATATATAATCTTAGTTTAGTCTATAATACATAATTTCCGTTTATCTTTTCTTGTAGTAATATATGATGATGTACTGAAGAGTCAATGTCGTAAAAGTTTGGAGAGTACATAAATTTTTCTATCACTGAATCTTTACATAAAAATTCAAATTCAAGGTTAGCTGAAGTTCTTACAATATTAGCGTCTAAGTCTGCGGAATAGTTACTTATATTAACTTTTGTAATATTATCATTAATACTTTCTGTTAACCATAAAACTATTTTTTTTCCATTAAAACTAGATGGTATTGCTAAATTTTTATTTACATTACCAATATTTATGTTTAGATAATTAGTTATAGATAAATAGTATAAAAATAAAAGTTGTTGTTTTGAATTTGCATTAGACACATCATATTTCTTTATACTAAAATTATTTCTTCTAAAATGAGAAAAAACAATACATAAAGTGTAACTTGTATTTTTAATTGGTGGTTTAAAAGAAATCTTATAATTATTTATTCTTAATCCAGTTTCTTTTATGTTATCCATTGTTTTACTTGGAAATGTAATATTTTGTGCAGAATTTCCTGTAATAGAGGACAAAGCATTAAATACAACACCAATTGAACTTTTATTTAGAACATAATTGTTTGAATCGCTAAAGTCAAAAAAATGTTCAAAATATTTTCTATAAACATAATTTTTTATAAAAGGTAAATTTTTATTTACAATTCCAACTGTTGCTGTATTAATTTCATTTACCATTCCAACTGTTGCTGCACTATTATTATTATTTTTATCAAGATCAATGTTTAATATTTTTTTATTATTTGCATTTATGTCAACATTGTATGTAACTTCTGTTGGTTTGATATCAAATGCTGTGTGATAGTCATAAACTTTATCTGGGTCGATATTGCTTACTTTACCCACAATACCATAAGTAACAAAATAAACTCCTGAAAACTGTCTTGGATAAACAGATAGATCAGTTCCTTCTTGTGGTATATTAACAAGAAAATGAAGAAAGAACCTATTACCAGTTGACAACTTTTTAAAATTAACTATTATTCTATGGTAATACATATATTGTGTTTGATTTGTTGCATCTGTATATCTATGACTAAGTTTTTTTACACTTACATTTTCAATTGATAATCCTGTTGAAGTTCCTTTGTCTACACTTATTTGAGATTTATGCCAAAGTTGATAGTCAGTGTTTAGTATTTCCAAACATAGTGTGTAATCAACATTAGCGGTTAATCTGTAAAAGTTAACTGACATTTTGTACTTATATCCACCTTGAGAATTTTTGTTTATTTTTACATAAATTACTTTGTGGTTATAGTTATGAAAATTACCTTTTGAAGGAGGTAAGTCTGCTATTTTTGATATAACAAAACTAGTTCCACTATCTATTTCATCAGTCCATTGTGCTGCATTAGACATAAGAAAAGTAAATTGATCGTTGTAATGACTTGGTTGAACTGCAGTGTGATGAATTAGTTTGTCAGCGTAATCTTTATTTACACCATCATTGTCTTGGGTTGGATTACTTAAACTAATAATTTTTTTATTGTTCATATTTAAGTTTCCTCTCATATAATCCGTTCCATCTTTTTTAAAATAACCTGTTGTAAATCCTTTATCATCAACATACTTTTTGGTTGCAGCATCTGTATCATTAAAAGGTGGTCTTAGACCAATTATAGGTTTATTATTCATGTTAAGTGAGTTTAACATTTTATTTGTTCCACCAACATGTAGATACTTTATATCTGTAAAGGCTAATGGTGTTGGTTGTTTAGGACCCATTGGAATTGGTAGGTTTAAAATTCTATGATTATCCATGTTAAGATTACCTTTCATTGGATAAGATCCATCTCTATCAAGAAATGTATTGTCTACATAATCTTTTGTAGGAGGTTCTTTTCCATCCAGTGGTGTGCTTAGATTTTTAATTCGGTATGTATTTTTCATATCAATGTTTGAATCAATTGTTAGGTTTGATGTCGAGGTGGGTTTATCATCCACATACTTTTTGTTTGCTGCGTCATTATTAGCTGTTGGTTTACCAACATTAGTTATTTTATTATTATTCATACTTAAATTGCCAATCATTGTTCGTGAACCATCTCTATTAAGAAAATTACTGTCTGCATATTGTTTTGTTGCTGGCTCATCTGCATCATTTGGATGTTTAATCAATGTTTGAATCAACTGTTAATCGTGTTGTTGTGGGTGTCCCGCTAGAATTATCATCAACATACTTTTTTGTAGCAGCATCAGTATTAACAGTTGGTGTACCAACATTTCTTATTTTTTTATTTACCATATCATAATCACCATCAGAAGTAAGATTAAATCCAACTCCTGGTGCTCCTTGAATTCCTTTTGCAAATGAGTTATCTTTTTGTTCGTTAAATATTCCCATTTTTATCTAATAGTTATATTTTTTTTTAAGTTAGACTACTAGTAAAGTTTTTAGCAATACGTTTTTTAGGCTTATCAATGTATAAAAATGTAAATGGTTTTTTTGTTGCTGTTCTATATGTTTCTTTATCAACTCCTAATTCTGATGATATCCTGTTTGCTTCTCTCGATGATGGAAATTCGTACAGACAGTAGTGAGAACAATTCAATCGTATATCCTTTGGAGTTTTGTAAAATGATTGACTTAGGTATATTACAGAGCAATTCTTATGACGACCTTGGATGAAATAATCAATAAGTTCTCTTTGATTTTTATCACAAACGTAATCATCAAATATTACAAGTTTTTGATTATCCTCATATTCCATTTCTGTCACTGGAATTATTTCATCATTACTTACATTTAGTATTTCATATCCCATTTTATGACTTAATTCTCTCATTTTTTGAATTAACTTTTGATACTTATCCTGTTCTAGATTACGTGCGTAAAGATATATCTCATCATAATACAAAAGTGGTTTAATTAACATATGATAAAGCAAATTAGTTTTACCACTTCCACTGTTTCCACAAATTAACATTCTAAAAGTATCTGATGGCATATAAGGAAATAACTGTTTATATTTTTTATCCGGATCATCGACACTATCATAATTTGGTATTTCCATTTTATATAATAGTTATATATTTATTATATAAAATGGATATTGAAGAGTATAAAAAACTTGCAAGAAATAAAATTGAGGCTGATGCTTTGACTAAACAGGTGAGAGATGTTATAAAAGAAACAAAATGGCAAAAACAAGATATGAGAGAGGGTTTTACAGAAACATTTAAACCACTTATTAAATCTCAAGAGAGTGTTAAAAAAAGTATTGATGAGCAGCAAAACGCAACTATAGCTCAACTTCAAGCTAATCAACTTGCATTAACATCAGGATTGGAAAAAATTAACGAAACTAATTTAAGATTGGCTGAAATGAGAGAATTACCAGCTTTGGAAGGTGATTATGAAGAAACAAAAACATCTAAAAAAAAATCACCTACACTTTATAACATTGAAAAAAATATTGACGATGTTGATTTAGAAATATTAGAAATGTTGGAATATCCAAGGCCAAATGATTTTTTTGATACTAACCCTAAAATACTCAGAGAAATACTTGATGAAGTAAAAAATGATGTAAAAATGTTTACAGGAGAAATAGCTGGTTTGAATAGAAAAAACATAAAACAGAAGAAGATAAAGAAGAAATAGAAAGGATTAAAATGCAAAAAGATTTACTACATAAATACAAAAACATTCTTAAACTTTATTTAGGTTCGCTTCAGTATCAAATGGGAGAAGGAATGATTTACTTCAACAACCCACATCATCTTCTTAAAAGACTTGAATTACTTGGTGGTTCAATTCTTGCTGGGAATAATGGTGTGATACCTGAGTTTTCTAAAATAGCACATCTTCTAAACCAAATGAAAGTAATTACAAAAAAACAACTGAATGATTTACTAAAAACTTATATAACAATTAGATAAATGGAAGAACGAGCTATTCATATTTCTTCAATAAATAGGGAAAAAAGAGGAACAAGCAGACCCGGTGATTTTACTATTAAGTTTAATCCATCTTTGAAACTTGACCCTGAAAAAAAACATCAACTTGCTCTTGATAGGTTGTCCATGACTTACTCTTGGTACAACATTAGAAGTGATTATAAAAATAATAAGATTAAATATACTCACGATGGATCCACTTGGCAAACAATTACTTTTACAGATGGAATGTATTCATACTCAGATATTAATGATTACATTCATCAGTATATGGATCAAAAATCTCACCACTCATCAGGTTCAAGTGGAAATAAAACTTATTCAATTAATATAACATTTATACTATCTACTTACAGAGTTCTCATATCAATTGAAGGAGATTATCAATTAGATCTGAGAGGAACAGAATTTGGAGACTTGATTGGATTTGAAAAAAAACTTATTACAAAAACAGAGTATGGAACAAAACTACCAAATATAACAAATTCTATTGATGTACTAAATATTAACACAACAGCAATAACTAATAGTATTGTAAATGGAATAAATACAAATACTATTGCTGTAATACCAACTGATAATTTAACAAGATCTTTTCCATTTACTTTCGAACCTAAAAGACCATTATATTGTGACGTTTCTGCGTTTAAAATTGATGAAATGAGAATATTTGTTACAGACTCAGTTGGAAGACCAGTAAATTTTAATGGTATAGATTGGTATATGAGTTTACTTCTTCACTCGATGTAATACTTCATATTTATATAACTATTAAAATAAAATGATGAGACAATCAGAGTTTAAAATGAAACTTGACCCTGAATTGGGTAGATATACAAGACAACATATTTATGGAGAAGGAATGATGGATGGGTTTAAATCGTTTGGTAAAAAAATATTTGGAAAGACAATGAAAAAAACTGCTAAAAAAAGTGCTCAAAAAAGTGGTGATAAATTACTAAAAATGACTGCAACAAAAACTGGTGAATATTCTGGTAAAAAGGCTGGTGATAAAATAGTGCAAATGTTATCCAAAGAAAAGGTAAAATCCACCAAAAAAACCCCTTCAAAAAAAAAAGTTACTTTTAATAAAAATGTTGAAACAATGACTCAAAAAGAAATAGATCAAACATTAAATAACCTTATTAGTGGAGGTTCAACACATAAGAGAAAATTATATAATTATTAAAATAAAATGAAGTCTTTTAGAAATCCAAAATATTTAGAAAGATATGAAGATGTTGTTTTTGACCTTGAACAGGCTCTAGATACAGCCCCAGCAAATGTTGCGCACCAAAATAAAACAGGTCTTAGATTTGTTGCTGATAATACAGGAGAAGCTACTCCTTATGATTGGTATAACGCCAGACTATCAATGGATTTTAAAGTAAATAAGCTGGCAGATGGAGGAAACATTGCAGTTGCTGACCATAACGGAATTGTAAATGGTAGTAACTCATTTATAGAAAAATTAAGTATCCTAGCAAATGGTAGAGAAGTTTACAGTTGTAACTATGCAAATCATGTTGTAAATATTAAAAATCTTCTTGAGTATAATCCTTCTTATGCTGAGAGTGTAGCTACAAACGAATTTTATTTTCTTGATACAACAAGAGCTGCAGAGGAAAGACCTGCTCAACAAACTTATAATAAAGGTTTTCATAAAAGAAAATTACTATTAGGTGTTTCAGCCACAGTAAATTGTGAAATTCCTCTTAATAGATATTCTTTCTTTGAAGCATTGGAAGACAAATTACTTCCAAATACAAAAATTGAACTAAATATCGAAATTGAAAAAGATGCTAATTTAATTTTTAAAGCTGCTGATAATTGCAGAGTTATTATAACAAGACTACAACTTTTTATTCCAAAACTTACGTTTAATTCAGAAGGACAAAAGTTGTACATGGAAAATTATCTTAAACCTTACAAATGGACATATTCGAATGAAGTAGTTGAAAGATCAAATAATACACAACAACAGACAGGACATTTTAGAATTACAAATGCTATTTCAAAACCAAGACATGTATTTATTTTTGGAATTAATACAGCCAATATTGATTCACAAACAGCAAATCCATTTTTATACGACACTTTTGAACTACCAAATAATGCTAATATATCAAGATGTCACTTGGAAGTTGCAAATGGAAACGAATACCCAGATATTCACTATAAACCTTCTACAGATATGTCAAGAGTTTTTAGAAATGTAATGTCATATGTATACGCAAATAATGATTATCAAGGTGGAACACTTCTTAACATAAGTAATTTCAAAACTTTATTTCCTTTTATTTATTTTGACCTAACAAAACAAAAAATGGATATCAAAGACGGTGTTACAAAATTAGCATTTCATTACGAATTATCTGAGAATCCAGACGCTGATTATAATATTTACGCGCTAGTCTTACATGAAAGAACAGCAGAAATAGAACAACAAGGAGGAAAACTATTGTTAAGAGCTTAAACTAAATTATATATCCACCAAGTAACATTAAAAAAGTTCAAATACATAAGCAAATTAAATAAAAGGTTAATGGTAAAAAAAATCAAAATAGTACCAAGAGTTAAATTGTTTAATCCATTTCTTGCGATAAACCTTCCTCTAAAGCAGGAGTAGGAGCAGATTTCATCTGATGAAGACGTTTCGTTTTCTTTCGTTTCTTTTTTTTCTGATCCATAATGAACTGTTTCATTTTAATTTCTTTTTCCTTCGTGCATTTTTCAATGTGAACTTCATATTTTCTTCGTCTTTTTTCTTCATTTGCCGCTTGACGCGCAATTTCCAAAACTCTTGGTAATTGTGGAAAAAGCGATAAAAATGCATTGATATCTTCTTTAGTCATATCAACGAGTCCAGTAAAAAATCCACTAAAATTAAACTGCAAATTTCCCAAATTTGCACCACCAATACCAAAGGCTGTCGTTTTCAATTCCTCAATTTTCTTGATACATCCATCCCTGCGATTTTCCAACGTTTTTAAAGAGGAAGGCATAATCAAAATTGTATACGATCTGTTTAACTTTCACAGAATTTTGTGCTTCACGATAAATTGTCTCAGAATTATATACTTGACAAATAAAATTTTGTAAAGAAATTTGATTGCTTGAAAAAATCAAACAATAATCTCGTGATTAAAAACAATAACCTTTTTTAGAAGAAAACTATGATGTAATATCAAACAATAATCTCGTGATTAAAAACAATAACCTTTTTTAGAAGAAAACTATGATGTAATATCAAACAATAACCTTCTAGAACATTCAAACTAATTATTAATGTTAACCACCAAAAGAGTGAAAATATAATAAACCCAAAAGAAATAAAAAAAGATTAAGTGATGAGATTGAATTTAATATAAACATCAAATAAAAAATGACAACTTATATTGAATACGGAGTAAAACTTACAGATGGACAAAAGTCAAAATTGGCTTCTGCAATATTAAATAAATCACCACTAACTCTTCGGTTAAAACATGAACATCTTCGAGGTTCTGATGNTTCAAATTCTTTATCATTAATTATACTTGAAGCTCTTTCAAAAAAAGTAGATTCTTCTCTTTCTAAATCTCTAGAACATATACAATAATTATATTTTTCAAAAAGTTTTTTTCTAAGCTCATCCTTTTTACAAATTAACGATTTATTTATATTAAATAAATTATCTAAACTTTCTTCCATTTTATTTATTTCTTTTATTTTTTAAACCATTTTTATTCACTATCCACTGGATTATTCTTTAGCCTCTTAACCTTTTCAACTTTAATATTTAAATCACGAACACTATCAACAATTTCAATAAAGTTTAAGTAAATGTCAATAAGACGATAAATTTTCTTCTTTTTATCACTATTTAAACTCAGCCATGAATATTCCTCATTTCTAATTTTTTTCCACATCTCACATTCACTAACCATTAGCACTCTTGAAAGATTATCATTTTTCTTTCTAAGACTCTCCATCTCATTATATATTTTTGTTCTCACTTCTTTTTCAAAATCCTTGATTGTTTTAACATCCATATTTTTCTCAATCTCAGAAAAGAATTTAGCCTCCATTTATTATATAAACAGATAATTACCTTTTACAACTTTGTTGAGAGTATTTGATTTCTCACTTATTTCCATAAGCAACTCAAATATCTTTATAAATTTATTATCATTTTCCAGTCTAGAATGATCAGCATATTCAAAACTCATATTAAGGTTATTATATATCTTTTCAAGCTCACTTTTTAAAAAATTAGATCTAGTAGACATATTTTTATCTAAGCATATATTAAATGAAAGAAACATATTGCATTAAAGATAAAAGAGTAACTCCTTGCACAGAACCAAGTGGTTACCAACAAGATAAAAGAGGAAGAACTCAATTCTTCTGTCATTGTGCAGTTTGTGGAATTAAAAAAGTTAGATACGTAAAAACTGGAACAGCTTCTCAAACTGGAAGTGGTAAAAAAAGAGCTAAAAGAAAGTCAAAAAACTAGTAAGCCCGTCTGAAGGGGCGGGCGTCTTTGATACTGTTGTTGGTACAGCAGTTGATGGATTTGTACATTACGGTTTACCTTGGATGGGTAAGAAAGCAGTTGAAATGGGTAAATATGGAGCAAGTGAGTTAATGAGAAATAAAAACGTTCAAAAAAAAGCTGTAAACTACGGAATAAATAAACTTACTCCATTTATTCAAAATTCT